TTTTCGTGCAATAATTTCGTTCACAGCATATGCAAAAAAATTATTCGTCTGTAATATGCTCTTCGGTTTCGTTTACGTCTTCTGAATTTAAGGACATAGCAGTTTCAGCATCCTAGTCAAACTCGTGCGTGTTATCGGTTGTCGCCATATTTGTTTATAAGAATTTTACTAGAATTGTCACGAAAATCGCCGAGTGCTGCCGAAGGCGTCCATAGTACGCCAATACATGGTAATCCTCACTGTGCTAAGAGGAAACTGTCCTCCTTGATCCGTTCGGCAAATAAACTCCCTGATCTATGTACAAACAGCGGCGACCATCCTGGTACCTTTGATCTAAGCTTGGCTGTGACTCCTTCTTTTTTTACCTCCATGATGAAACCAAGACTGGGTTGCATGATTGTGTTTGACCTCTGTTAAATTGAATGATTTAATTGGCCGCTGTGTTTGATTTTGTTGAGAGTGAGTACAAGTTTATAGTGGGAATTCCACCTAGATATAATGTAAGGCAATGGTAGATTAAATCAAAGACACTTCTCTAGTGTCTTTGATTAAATGAACCATGGCTTGAAGATGTGTATGCCTATACATGTAGTTGCTATCGGTACCTTGGAATGCCTATTTGTGTTAATACATTTTATGGGATTTAGCATCCTATAAAATCCTGTTCTTAGCTCTGACTCAATGAATTTTTTTAGAAGCTGATTCTATCAGACTACCACCATGGACACAGAATGTGTTAATATCATTTATATCCTGTTTCAAAATTGTTATCATGAATTTGATTTTCTTTGATGAACTGTTCTTAATAATGGACCATGTGATGTCATTGTTTAACAAAGATTTGGAACTTTCACTATTGAGACACGACATTGGTTATGTATCTTCTTTTACATTGCCTTTCAGGTGTTGTTAATGGGTAAAAGTGGTTCTGGTAAAACCAGTATGAGGTCGATCATCTTTGCAAATTACATTGCCAGAGATACTAGAAGACTAGGAGCTACAAGTAAGCTAACTAAATTTTAAATAAGTGTTTATTTTTAAATGATGGCTTTGAATCGCTATGTACTCAATACAGACTGCCGTTTCCATTCCATTTGTTGATTCAAGTGATTTTTTGGAATGGTTAAAATCAAACTACAGTCTTAGATTCTAAACCCAGAAATGTCCCAAATAAATTTTGAATGGTTTTATTCTTTGGAAATAGAATTACCACTATCTGAATTTTTAGGAAGGTCTATTGAGTTAGCAACTAAATTCCTAGACTTGCAAAACAGGAAGTTCACTTCAATATTTACCGTCCATGTCAACAGATTAACACAAACCGAAACCCCTGTCATTCTGTTAACCTGTATAATGTCAAATCAGTTGCTATGAAGAGGATATATTATTAATTCAAATATTTTCTACCCATTTCAGTTGATGTTGAACATTCACATGTGCGTTTCCTTGGTAACTTAGTGCTGAATTTATGGGACTGTGGAGGGTGAGTATATAATACTTTCAGAATAAGTGATTTTCTATTTACTGTGAGATATTGCATTGTGGGTAAAAGATTCTGACAGAATGTCTGTAGTAAAAAACAAATGATTTGATTTTGAACTGAAATCCCATGAATAGTGTTCACTTCAACGGTGATCTTAATTTCTCATGTTTTTATGTTCTATTGTGCACATAATAATGGTGCAGTATGCATTTTGCGACAAATTAAGGGACATTGGATTTGTGGTTTCTTCTGAAGTTTTGGGTTATACTTCTTTTAAGATGGACTATCAGTGAAGTAATGACAAGTGCAGGAAATTTGAAGGCAGTACAAATTAATCATGATGATATTTTAGTGGACAAGACATCTGGTGATATCCCCCAAAAGTTAAACCCTAATCTGGTATCCATTCTGAATATATAATTGGTTGGAATATGTACAACTGAGGCTCAACATTTCTTTTTCAGACTTTTAAATAACTAATCAAATGAAATTCTTAAGCAAAGTTAAGGAAATTGTTTGTGTTGAGAGTATGTTAGCCGCATCCATCCTTTCATTTCTTATTTTCTAGGCAGGAGGCATTCATGGAAAACTACTTTGCAAGTCAAAGGGACAACATTTTCCGCAATGTTGAAGTTCTAATTTACGTTTTTGATGTTGAAAGTAGAGAACTTGAAAAAGATATGCATTACTATCAGTCGTGTCTGGAGGCCATTCTACAGAATTCGCCAGATGCTAGAGTTTTCTGTCTAATACACAAAATGGATTTGGTACAGGAAGATCAGCGAGAATTGGTCAGTTTTATCATTTTTTGAAATTAATTTATTTCTAGCAATTTTTTGCTGTCTCAAGAATAGAACTACGGATCCTGTGTTGCGTAACAGTGGATTGTATCGATAATATGACTAGCATACATACTATTATATATGCAGGAGCTAATTTTGTTTCTCAAAATAACACCAGCATATATCCAACATTGTCGAGAGACTTTTCGTAATGTGTTTATCATGAACAAACATGTTGTTTACATGTTGTAAATTATTTAATTTTCCCTGCTAGGAATTTTCTTGATTTGCTGATTTTTGTGTGAACCAATTTTGTAAATTTTGAATATCACTGTGGCTCTGCAGGGATCGAAATACCCTGGTGCACACTGCACATAGATTATTAGCTCATGCAAGTAAACTCAAAATATAATGTGCACGCTGTGCATGTAGAAATTAACACAACGTTTTCTCATATTCATTAAGCCTAAATTAAGTTCAACCAACATTGTGAGACAACTAAAAAAAATCATTCTTTCGTGATTGCATCAATCGAGAACCCATAAATTTTATTTAAAATTTAAAAATGGTGCATTTCACAAGTTAGTGCAGGTAAATTTCAAATTCAACATGCACACTATGCATGCAGAGAAAAAATTCTATTTCAATCCCTGCTCTGTTTTTGGATCCAACTGAAACTTGCTGTTTTACAGAGTCATAAAATTAAATAAATTTACATGAGATACTAGTCTTGGTCTCTTTTGTTTTTTTTAGATTTTTAGAGAAAGAAAAGAAGACCTTCAAAGATTGTCAAAACCTTTAGATTGTACTTGCTTTCGTACTTCAATATGGGATGAAACATTGTATAAAGCCTGGGCGTGTATTGTTTATTTACTCATACCCAATGTTCACCAACTGGAGACTAACTTAGCATCATTTGCAGACATCATTGATGCAGATGAAGTACTTCTTTTTGAAAGAGCCACATTCCTTGTAAGTAACTATAGGCGAGAAAGAGTCCACACTGCCAATTGGCGTTTAATTACTCATGGTAACATTTCTGTTTTCACCAGGTTAATTATGTTTGGTTGATGACTCTGAGTAAGTTTCATGTGATGAGAACACTGATAAAGATACAAAGTGTTGCACTTCTTATTGTGTAAGTAACAGGAGACTTGAGTTAGTGTCTGTGTTGCTATTTGATATAGATTTCGTAGACAATATCAGACATTTATATAAGCACACTAGATGTAGAATGTGATTGAATTTTATTAGCAGATGGATTATCCCATTGTGAAAGTTTGGCATGATTCAACTAAGTTTACTTTAATATCAAACTTGTGTGTTGTTTGGATTCAAGATGGCTTCCCTCATGTATCTATAAATTTGTTGCATTTCTAATATAACCACTAGTATGTCAGCCGACTATACACAGATATATTATATGATTTGATTTTCTGCAGGTAATTTCACATTGTCAGAGAAAACCTCACAGAGACGTACATCGCTTTGAAAAGATCAGTAATATCATCAAGCAGTTTAAACTGAGTTGTAGGTGAGTGAATAATATCATCAAGCAGTTTAAATTGAGTTGTAGGTGAGTGAGTAATATCATCAAGCAGTTTAAACTGAGTTGTAGGTGAGTGAGTAATATCATCAAGCAGTTTAAATTGAGTTGTAGGTGAGTGAGTAATATCATCGAGCAGTTTAAACTGAGTTGTAGGTGTGTGAGTAATATCATCAAGCAGTTTAAATTGAGTTGTAGGTGTGTGAGTAATATCATCAAGCAGTTTAAATTGAGTTGTATGTGAGTGAGTAATAACATCAAGCAGTTTAAACTGAGTTGCAGGTAAGTGAGTAATATCATCAAGCAGTTTAAACTGAGTTGTAGGTGAGTGAGTAATAACATCAAGCAGTTTAAACTGAGTTGTAGGTGAGTGAGTAATATCATCAAGCAGTTTAAACTGAGTTGTAGGTGAGTGAGTAATATCATCAAGCAGTTTAAACTGAGTTGTAGGTGAGTGAGTAATATCATCAAGCAGTTTAAACTGAGTTGTAGGTGAGTGAGTAATATTATCAAGCAGTTTAAACTGAGTTGTAGGTGAGTGAGTAATATCATCAAGCAGTTTAAACTGAGTTGTAGGTGAGTGAGTAATATCATCAAGCAGTTTAAACTGAGTTGTAGGTGAGTGAGTAATATCATCAAGCAGCTTACATGTGTGTTTTTAATAGAAATGTGCTTCTAATAGAGTAAATACAGTATATGTTTAAAGTAGTAATCAAAATCACATCTTTAATAAACTAAATGCATTTGTGTTGTTATTTTACAGTAAATTAGCTGCAGCCTTTCAAAGTATGGAAGTGCGAAATTCAAACTTTGCAGCTTTTATTGATGTGTTTACGTCCAACACTTACGTTATGGTTATCATGTCAGATCCAGCAATACGTAAGTAGTCATTGTTGTCTTCTGCTATTCATGGTATGTATCAGACATGGTATATTGCCTGGGTTAGTCTTATTTTTGGATGAATCGTGGGTTTGGCTCCATTCTTCCATGTGGATATTTACCTGCCATAACTGGATTGATTTCAATCAAATTTTGTTGAAAGATGTTCATGATTAAAAACTAAGATGGTGGTCATTCTTAGTGCTAAAAAGTAAGCATGTATGATTTCATTTAAAGCAAGAGAGTCGTCACCTACACATGCGTCAGATGGCCATAGCATGTCATTGTTTACAAACAAGTGTCTACCCATAAGCCTTTGCATTCTTAGCGTGTGTAGTTATCGTTTGGGACTCAATTTTCCACATATGCACAGGTGACGATTCTCTTGCTTCAAACTTAGTACATGCATGAGATCTTAATGGGTATTGTTTTGATATCAAATTCAAAATGGCAATGCTATTCCAAAGCCATATCTCGGACATTTCTTACATTTACTTTTTGTAATACATCGCATACATGTCTAACCAAACTTCAGATGCGACACCATGCTGGATAGTGGGAGTCTTCTGTAGCTAACTCTGATTGTGTCATTTGGTTACTTGCAGCTTCTGCAGCTACACTGATCAACATCAAGAATGCCAGGAAACATTTTGAGAAATTAGAAAGGGTGGACAGTCAAATGGTACGATGACAATATAAATCAAAATGCATTCACGCCAAACAGGAACAATTTGAAATATACATTACCAAAGAGGAAAGCGTGTTTATAAACATTTGTGAGACAAGTCCAAGATTAAACTCATTTTACTCATTTGTATGCAGTGTTTAATCTTTTCAACTCTCTTGTGTAGTGGAATGATCTGTTTCAATTTTAAGCACTGATAATAATGAAACTGCAGATAAGGATAGAAAATGCTTGGCCAAACATTAGATTAGTATCTATTTATGCATAAATTGTTTTTCTCCATAATGTCCAAGGTTGAGAGATAAAACATGCATTCATGTTTCAGTTTCAAACCATATCTGTTGAGGATGAATGGCATCATTACCTGGGCGACTTTCCTTCCTGTACTTGTAGTATGCTGCCATCTATGTTCAATAATGTACATTCTTTTTTTCTTCTTTTTTTCTGGTAGTCTGGGCCCTAATAGAGCCAATACAATGTTGTCTAGTGTTCCTAACTAATTGCCAGATGATGGTGAACGAGGAACTGATCCTTTTGTTTTAATAAAAGAGGCACTGCTCAGTGTGATTATATATTATGATTTACTATTTAAAGTAGTTAGGTTTCCTTTGTTATTTTTAAGTTTCGATTCCGAGATATTATTTCCAGTTACTTAAGAAAATTGTATTTGCATTTTCTATCATGTATGAAGTATCCTTTCAGAAATAAACTTGTTTATCTTACTGCTGTTTCTTTTGTATTTGCAATGGCGCCCTCAGTGTTTGAACTGCAGTGTTGAGGGCACCCGTAGTCTCCATCAGTGATGTTTACAGGGTCTCGCACAAGAGGCTTGCATTCAGATTGATCCAATCAAAGTGTCTTGCGTTGTTCCATTTACTAATCACAAGGGAGCAGGGGTAACCTTTTATAAATAATATAAAACTATTATGTATGTTTATCAATCGCCCATTTGGT